TCCACCCGTCCAATGTTTCTACTTTAAAATTCAAATACCTGAAGACTGCAATGTTGTTTAGGAACGTGCGTTAGGTGTAACCAAAGGTGGCAGCCAAAGCGGACACGTTAACGGGAGTGTTCCACATCTACATGAGGGTTTTAAATGAAACAGCCATCTGGAAGATCATTCGGTGCAGTTCACTGCCCTGCTATCTCAAGACCTAGGCCCCTCTAGTTTCTGAGCTACACGCCCGCGAATGTGTGCAAACTATTTCGTGCAGACTATTTCACAGTCCTTTGGGCACGCATAACGCTTTAGCAACGCCATTCAAAGCCTACCACCCCATAGGCCATGCGGTGATCAAGGTCAAGACAGATATAACTGTAGGGCTGTTCGTGTCTGACTTTCGTGAATACGATTTCCAGATACAACGACCGTCAGTTGGCTCTCAATCAATGTTGTGTTAGGAACGATGACGAAAGGAAGCAATCACATAATGAGGAGCAGGTTTATTAAACAGAGAAATTGTTTTGTCCAGTGCAGTCTGTTCTGCTTAAAATATATTATTAGCTGCATTTGAACTTGTTTCATGATATATGATGCTTGCGTCAAATATCTTCCAATGTAGGATATTACCTTTAAAGATGGCTTGTTACGAGCGGCTTCTCCGCTGCCGCTGACTATGAGGCAGCGATGAATTATGTGCATGTAATGATTATCTACAAATAGTTAAGATTTAAAGCATTCGATCCCCACGTGCGAGATTGAGATCGCCGAGGGAAAGCGATGCGAGACCACGGTCTGTGAGTGCTGTACCGTCAGGATGTTGCTTCGTGCTTTAAGTCGACTGCGACGCGTAATAGTTTCAATCCCCACATAGGCAGCTGCCATCTAATGTTCTGCTTCCGAACCATGCTCATATGTTGTTCTGGTAAATTTCCAACCACTGGAACGAATATTTCCTCTTGTTATGCCGCTGCGTGTTTTACGAGAGTTAATGCATTCACATCAACTGTTTAACGCAATGTTCGGACACATTTTCATGAACTGCGCGACGTCACTTGTTAACAAATTTGTTGCTTCGTGAAGCAAAAGCCTCGCAATGACATCAAATCATCACAAAGGTACTCACGTCACTTGCAAATTTATGATCATGAGAATTCTATGTGTTGTACATAGGAGCAAACTCACTGTTAGCCTTTGATGATCGGTAGCCGATGTCTGTGACCAGTTTTCTGGAACTCTCGATGTCGGGTTGCCATACCAGCATTTCAAACCACTCAAGCAATGTGGCGAGTTTGTGATTTGCTTTTAACTCGAAAGCAATCTGGCTGACATTCTCTTTGCCTTCCATTCTGTCTTCGCCAGCGAATACAGGATGCATTATTGAACGAGACGCTTCAAATCCAGCGACATAAGGCAACTGTCCGGACACCTTTGCAGAAGTGAGCTTGTAAGTTTTCTTGGCCTCACTGGCGGGCATTACCATGTAGTGATAGCGGGATGTTTATTTTCCTATTGCACGAAGTGTCTCAAATGTGTGCAAGGACGACACTCGTGTTTGCAAATCACAACATTCGATCCCACCGCATCCTTTACACTATGTGCAGACGTGCCGTATGCGTAGGCTAAGGAGCTTTATTGATCCTATGTTCTGCCTGATACGGAGACACCGGCTGCGACTCCCAGAGCTGGTAGAGCCTCCCATTATACCATCCTGACGGCACAGAGCTTTTGACTACTCACCGTCCGGCATGAGTCCTTCGACGCTGATTTGCGTAAGGCACAGAGTCTTCGGCATTACTCGCCGATGGCTCCGCGCCATACGATCACCGTCGCCGTAGAGTGCTGACACTATTCAGCGTGGTTCAGAGTTCCCAATGCTAATGCCCCGCTGATAAAGAGCCTCCGACAACCTTCCTCGTCTACCACAGAGAGTCTGAATTTATATTACGCGCTACGCTGGTGCTGTGACAGTAATTCCGTTCGGTACAAAGCTCTGACTCTAACGCCCTTCCGATGAAAAACATTCGACTGTGCTCACCGTCTGGAGCAGGGTCTCCGAGCTTTCGCCGTCTGGCACAGAACTTCTAACTCCGATCACCGTGCCGCAAAGGCCCTGACTCTACTTGCTGGATGATGCAGAGCCTCTGTCCCTAGTCGCTGGGTGGAGTCGGAATTGACAATAAAATATTCAGTCGGACGGACACAGTATTCATGTCTGTCACCACGCACCCAAAGAAACTTCTGTCAAAGCTCCTTATTAATCCGTTGAGACTACGAGAAATGCGGCACAGCTTGTCTAATGTTATGGCACCGAACACAAGTACGATGGGTGCCACATTGCATACTAAGAATTGTTCCAAAGGTTTGCTTAGAGAAATGATTCCTCGTCACTAAAGTGGTGGACGTCACAGTATCGTGTATGATATGCTTAGGGTGTCACCTGAAAGTACACCGAGCTGGGAAGAGGACAGAACATGTGCATTCTGACATGTGCTATTTTTCTGATGTTCACCGAAGTCCAAAAAAATTCCCTGCACTGTAGATGTCCTGGTCTTGGTGATCCTTCAAATTGCATTGAGATCATGCAGCTTAATTTGCTTCCACACTGTTCGCGTAAAGCCATGCAAGTACCATTCACGCTAGTGCTTATTCGACTGGCGCCTAATTTTGTTTCACTGCATTCCACAGGCACGTTACTCTGAAATGTACGGACATTCGGATAAGCAAGGGGTTACAAACTCATCGTTTGCCATCCAGTCCGTCAAAACAGCAGGTCCACTTAACTCTTGAAACATTTTTGTTTTGTCATCATGCAGTGATTCGCTATTTTACGTTCGTGCATTTGATTACATGGGACCGAATCATAAAATACCGCATAGGTGAAGTAACGAATAGGTACATGACGATGAAGCAACAAGGCATGCGCAGTGAAAAGTTATGGGAAATTGACAACGTTGAAAGTGCCAAACCATCGGTTTATTTTTCTCGAGGATTTCACATTTGGTATCGAATTGTGTCCCTGTCTAATAATGGTTACGCGAAAAGGGTTGTGGAGAAATTTTGTGTCGCTGCATAACCATTAAAGATAAACCAAAACAAAAAGCACAACTTCATCCTTGCGGATGCATCCCAGGTGTTTTTCGAATGCCCAGCATTGGCATAAATGCTAACGGTTTGAAAATTCGTGCATCGTACGCTCGTAATCCGTGCGTTCGCAGGCAGGTCATTCGACGAGACACAGGGTGGGGAAGGGGCAACAGCCCGGGCCGACAAAAAATGTGCTCCCTTATAGCCCACATTCTCCCGATAAAATGACTTGCTGCTGTAGTCTTAAAATGTCCGATAGATGAAAGACAAAGCGATTGCATGACCCAACCACTTTGCTTTGCACCGTTTCATTCCTCTCACAAGTCAAAATCTTCAGTATTCGGACCGGGGCTTTGCTTAGTGTGCCCTCCGGACACAAATACGAAACGGAGGGAGTGTCCATCACGTTTAGTCACCGGTGCGGCTGCATTGGCTACAACTTTCTGTCTGAATCCCAATTGACTGATGTGCCGGCTGTACAAATGATTTTATACCTTAGATATCGGTTTGGCGGATAGTACGCCTAATGGTCTCAGACATTGTTGAGTCGCCAGGCGGGACATTTCCCTGATGTCGAGTGCGCCCTGCAATGAAGTCATAATTAGAGGCTTGCAATGTGATGGACACGATGCCCTAAGTTTATACAGCTGGCAGTGGCTACCTCAGCGTGTCCTATAGTGGGGAACAATAGCGGTGGACCGAATGTTCACGATTGGGGCTTATGCCTTTCCCATGACAACCAAATGGAGCACATTCACATATGGTGACAGTGTTGAAGAGATAGCATGAGACTAATTGATTTGTCCAGTTGCCGTGTGACCAATCAATTTACCGTCCTCGAGCATTACGTAAATTAAAGTGCCGCCTACCAAATGATGATTAAATGATGTCACAGCAACCGCTACAGGGCGTCCTTCCGAAGGCGCCGGCGGCGGTGGCGGCGGTGGCGGAGGAACGTTTATGATGTCGTTAATGGAAGCACCATATACATCATCGTTAGCGATGGTGCGTGTTCTGATGGTTGAATGCTTGTAACGGGAAGTATATTTGCCTAACAAAAGTTATTTTTCTGAAAAAAACAAATAATTACCTCAAGGCATGTTGTTCATGTTGAAATTTGGCTCATCTATAATAACGTCGCGTCGCAAACAAAAGCCTAAATTCTGCGTGGTTTAAGGTGCATCCAATGTAACTCGATTCAGACCTTCGAAAACTTCCATGAAATTTCCGTGTCCTGGAGCATTTAATTAACTCTTGCAATGAGCTAATGAACCGTCGAGAGCACAATAATAAAGTTCTTGGTATATCGTTGCTTAAATTCAAGTTGTAACTAGGCTGGTGCCTGACTGCCAACTGGGGCGGCGAGACTATTGTGCAGAATCTTACGAACCTCAGTAAGCTCTCAGTTTGAAATCCTGAAATGGAATCTGATTAAGCTCACCGGGAAGTGATTTGGCGCCAGGTCAACGTTGGTTTAGCAAAACCTTATGCTTGTCTACTTTGCAAATTATTTAAAGTAACGTCTTGACGGGTCTTGATTTTTCATGATGGGACCTATATGTTTACTGTTTTGGTGACAGTGAAGCAGGCTCCCTATCGCGTCACGATAGCCGCGAGTCACGACTGAAACTCTTTCACTCAAATGGAACATGGCGGCCACAGCACCTTGTCCGCTGCTTGTCTAATAGTTCGGCTAAAATAAAACACGCCATCGCGACATGACAGCAGCTGCAGCTACGATCAAGCTCTAGAGTCGCCACTCAACGCATTTTAACAATGCATTGACGGCCATCACCACGCAATGTGAACCCGGCTACCACATCACTCAAATTGCTTCATTAAGAGCCCCACCATTTAGAATTGCTTCATGTAGAACCTCCACGCACCATCCATTTGCTGTCTGCTGCGGCAAACGATCATCTTACCTACGAAAGTAATTGGCTTCCACATCTTGTCGAATATGGCCGGGTGCAGATTGAACCACTGGCCCGGCTGCAGCGTCTCAGGTGGAACCAGCCGGTTGTCGGTCCAGTAAAACCTCAAAAACATCTCCGTAGCCAGCTCCTAAAACACAGAGGAGGAGCGGCGTGAGCTCACCACACTTGGAATACACAACCGTTCGCGATGCTCATGAAGCGAGCTTTTATGGAGAGACACGTGTTTGAAGGCCGTTGGCTCTTTCTGCGCGTCTTTGATGTGTGTTGGTCGATGTTGTCATCGTGCGATCATTTTCTCCTCTAGCTGATCTGCAACGTCGATGACAATAACCAAGCAACATAAAAAGGCACAGCAAGACAATCACCTCCCTCATACACTGCACAACATCTCCATGCTGTGATAAAGCCTACTAAGCTGAATGCCAAGCAAACAAGGACACATCAGCTGGGGTTTAAATGATATTTTTATCGAGGAAAGGCATCGATTTAGCGCAAAGTATACATTGCTTATGGTGTGGTGCCGCGTAACTGGTGTGTCGTACTCCAAGCGGAGAAATCAGAGTGCGTGAATTAATTATTTACTGCGCTTCTTTCCTGACTGGCAGGCGCGATACAAGCGCCAAATAAGACCGATGAATCTGTTATGTACTCCCACCGCGGTGGTGGCTGGACACATGCTGCGTTAGTCTGCTAGAACAAAGTTAATGGGCAGCCGCACTGAATGCCTTTGAATGAACGTAAAAAAGAATGGTGCTTGTTTAAAGGTCCTGGAAAGTGTTGCGACTTGCGACAAATTAACAAAAAAAAAACTATTGCGACAAAAACGAATTGCGCCGTGAGCAGACGCATATGGGACAGGGCCATTTCATGTTACTAATATTTTGTCGTGTTCTCTTTCACTCACATCACTTTCAGCCTATTTCACCTCGAGTAATGTCTTGTTAAGCCGCCATTGGTCGTTACCATGACACCCGGGCTCATCTAATGGGTCCTCAGGGAAGGAAAGGCTCTTGGCGTGAAGTTCTAAGCGAACTAGGTAGCCGGTGGTCCTCGTGCCGATAATGAACAAACCGTTAATGGCAAATATATGTGCCCGGTCAGTGCATCACGGAGAATGTTATGAGTGTGATGCGCCTCGCAAGCTTGTGCGCCAAACCATTACAATGCACTCCAGTCTGATATGGCCTTGTGCCGCGTTGTCGGGTCGCTGCCGCTGGCGCAGAGGAGTGGCGAGTCTGCTATCAACTGCAGTTGCATACGCCAGGATACACCCTGAGCGAATGCAGTAGCTGATCGAGAGGTTGCATATTACCACTTTAACTGGTTCATACAATTTTTTAACAGATAAACGGCGGTCCAGGAAGGAGAAAGTTTCGCCACGTAGTAAGGTGGGCTAGGCCAGATGGAGGTCCTTATCTGTCTCCATTCTCACCGTGAGTATCGAGCAACGTATGTTGCGTTCTTGGAATTTGTATGTGCGTTTTAAAGTCAATGTCAGAATGGCATATATGAAGATACAGATCGCAAACAAGCCTGCAGGGCACGGTATGTATTGGCGCGATGTCGTTCCCTTCTATCTGAATCAACAATAGCTTTACTATTGAAAAACATACTTGTTCGTCATTAGCTTTTGAAGAACTGATGAACTCGGTGCAGTGCATTTGGCGAGCACAAAATTGATTTTATATATCGTGTTCTTTCTCAATAAATCGAATTGTGATTTGATTAAATTACCGTTGAATAGTCTTAAAAGCATTGCTGTCACTCATGCACACAAACAAAATGCACGTTTCGTACCTATCTTTTCCTCTTATATTCCATGAAGTTCGAAGCCGGTACAGACTTGAGATTGCTATCTCCACCCAATATGTAATGCTTACAACACGTGTTTCATACACTAACTCACTGCATCGGCCATTGGTAATGTAGGTCAAGTAAACGTGGTGTCCATATTGCGTAATGCATGGAAACAAATGAGCTAAGAGATGAATGATGACTGCAGGTTTCTTTTGTTGGGCTCCTCATCTGACTTTTCGCATGCCTACAAAGCTACTTCATATTCGTGTTCTATCCTTGGTATGAAGAAAGCTTTTCCTGAAAAGAGTGCACATACCGCATGCAAAAATGCGGTTGCTCTGCAGATACTCTTTAGTTATTTCGCATATAAATTAAATGCATTGGCCTGTATCTACTTGTCAAGGTATACTCATGTTTGGTTATTAATCATTAGATGCTTTATTATCAACGATTGTTAACAATTAATATTTCGCAGTTGGCTGTTTTAACAAAGGAAGCCCTGCGGTACTGAGCTGCTTTTTGAAATTATCCAATAAAACATTTAAATGTAAGATAAGCGTGACGAACTCAGGTATTACAAAGAACGACTTCAACAACGATTAATTTAGCAGGAACTAAGGCACTGGGTACGAATTCCAGAGCGGACGCGTTGTCTGGCCCGACTGAAATGGAAAGGTCAGCTGACAACTGGCCAACGAGGGTCAACCCGGGCCCGGGGTGGGCGTGCCGCAGCATTGTGCGACACTTAAAAAACTCCGCATTCTTGTCTGGCGCAAGGGCGGAGGCAAAATTATCCGTTGGATTGGGCGGTATGACTTGGATGGTGGGTTCCAGGTGCATGCAACAAGCTATGCTTATCAGGTACTATGAACCCAGTCACCCATGCAAACCATTCGGAATAAATTTATATTCAAAATGAACCTGTGAGGAAGCCTCAGTTTTTAGAATCAGTGAAGCTTTAGCTTTATTTATAAGGCGGTATTTCGATGAATCCCAACGACTGTATTCAAAAGTGTAATGAAATACCATGTTCAGCGAAAACCAAATGGTGCTAATGAATGTTGCATTGGAAGATTAAGTAGACAGTGGTGGGTACAATCTGACAATGACAAATGTCATTATAATAAATACAAATAAATAATAAAATACAAATAAATAAAACCCGCAAATGACAATGACTAACAGATGACTGAATTAATTTTAGAAACATCTGAGATTAAGTACAGCAAATAGTAGAAATAGTCGCATAATGATATAGACGAGTAGGAAATGCAATGTAGTAATCTGCCATTGCGCTGCTTAAAAATCGATCAATCTTTTTATGTTCACAAAATTCTAAGCTTAAGGTGACAGTGCCAAGATTTGAATTGCATCGGCCTAAACACCATTTCAAAATTGTTTGCATCAATACAGATGTTGCCCGAGTTGCGTCATCTACTTCACAGATGGCGATGGTGCTCCACGCTGGATGGATAGGCTGCACCGCAACACATTGTTGAACGCGCGGCACATGTCGGCATGACATCGGGCTGGTGCTGTAGATCCAGTGCCAGTGGTGCCAGTGGCGCCAGTGAGCCAGTCGTGAGGAATCGTCACGCTTGAGAATGTGGTTCGGTGTGAATTACACCCAGGGGGTAGACTAGATATAGTGTTCGGGGATATATTAGTCGCAGGGGTAGATTACATACAGTGATCAGCTACAGATTAAACGCACGTCAATGGTTTCCGATTTAGTGGAGATTCAGACTCCTAGCTATAAGAAGAAAATGGCTCAAATTCGGAAATTGTCCCCTATTTCTTTCCGAGGGTTGATTCGTCGTCCCGCTCAGCCACAACCAGCCTATTTGTCGAGACTGCATCCCCGAATGGACGTCCTGTTTCTTTAAGTTAAAATCCAATCGACCATCTTGACCCCCCACCCCCCGCCCCCCCCCCCCCAGTTATTGAATCAGAGACGTCATAGGTAAGAGTAAGGAGACAAAGGATTATTAATGCACTGTCATCCGGTTCCTCGCCACTTTCGAGGCGTAGCGATGTGCAGAGACCCTCACTTCAGGGTCCGTGCATGCACTGGGACGTGAATGATATCTGGGGAGGCTGTGAGACCGACCCTACCGCAGGCCTAAACTCACATAAAGCACAACGCCAGAGGGTGAAACGTTGCCTAAGTTCTGCGTAATGTTGTTCCACCCGGCCGTTATTTTGTATATGGGGCCAATGTATAAAACAGAATATTCGTTGAACGTGTCCATAGTCGAGATAAGCATATCGGGATCATATACTATTGAAATTCATATACCATTTAAGCACGTTGCATGTCGTTTTATGACAGACATTAGGACAATGAGGAAAGAAAAGACTGAAAGGCTTTTATCAGCTGACAACACTCTAAAAATGTCCCCGTTCTACATGATTGGGACTTACATAGTTTGACACAAGCTAAACTTTGAAGATGTCTTGACACGAGATAAAAAAGACACAATATCTTTGCACGAAATATCTTTGTGTGCTGAACTTCTTATCAGCGCTAGCAAAATTTGGCCATGTGGCTAGCAAACTTAGCCAATTTTGCATGTGTCAGGGTGTCTGGGGCTAGCCAATTTAGCATGGGGTGGTGGTTATGGCTCCCCTGACCCTTGATGTATACGCTAAATGCTGGACGTTCTCTCAAGATTCGGTTCAAATTCAAAGCAGTTCAAAGGAAATTTGGCATTCGTTCCTCCCCTTTCTTCCCCTGAAAGAAATTCTGTCTACGTGGCTGTATTAACTGAAATTCACTCCATATTGTTGAGGCGCGAAGCAGCATTCATTTGTTAGCGGTGGAGGCACTGACGCCAGCAACGTCAGAGATGTTCTACCCTTCTACAGCGAGCGTACTTATACCCAATTCTTCACGACTCCAGGAGACATGAATTATAAGGGTCTGTAACACAAAAAAACGCACCACGGAGCGAACGCAGAACTCGATGAGGAAACCTGCCATGATGAAAAGAAGCCAGCGAATAGCCTGTAAATCAATAGGCATGCTCACTTTTGTGTTGCCTAATGGGTTTGAATTAGACATGACATTATCCAATGCACATCAAGGCATTGCTAGTTGTGCTTTGACGTCATGGCCAAGGCTCGGCGTTGCTAGAAATACAGTTTGCAGTTTATTAATTGGGCTGCAAATTGGTTGACTAATTTAAATATACTGATTGTGAAATTTAAATACCCAAACTGTTATCACCTGGCTTAACCTTGAAACCAAAACAGGAAAGATTGAAGGAAATATGGCACATTTCTTTGTACATCTAGATCACAGATTAGATGGGTCAGATTTGGTCAGTG